AAGCGCCCGCAGACGCACAGTGGACGCACGACGGACGCACGGCGCCCGCAGGACGGACGCACCCGCGGGCGCCCGTGGACGCACAGTGGACGCAAGATGCCCGCGTCTTGGACGCGGTTTTTGATAAGTTATTTCTTGGCAGTACTGTATATCATTCTGCCAGAGTAAGGTAATATTTACAATGTAATGTAAAATATTTTTATTATCAATAATAAAAGCTGATAAGAATTAAGCCACATATTTAAAGAAGTTTAACTACAGCTTGTGCAAACAATAACCCAGTTCTCTCATAATCTATTTGACCTATTTATTTGCAAAGACCCACAATGCACCATTCTGTATAGACTGAATAACAAGGAAAACATGCAATCTCATATGCAAAATCCCTGGATCAATTACTCAATTTGCATTAATTGTGGTTTAATTTCTTTCTTTAATTAATAGTCATGAAATTAGTGTACACCAACATACAAATGACAGTGGTGGGAAAGTAACATATCTGGCAACCAAAATTCACACTCCCAATATTTGACAATGTGTTTGCCACAAGCTAACATTTTGCAATTTGTGAAAATGATTAAATTAAAATTTTAAAATAATGAATTAAAATTTTATAATAATGTTTCTAATTCTCCATATAACTGTTAAGTCTGTTATAACTAATTATATGATGAATCCCCATTTGTGGCACTTTACACTGTATCACATGCTATCACCACTTTCTTATTCAACAGGCATGAGAAAAAACTCCATCCTAATTTTTGCCCAGCGGTCGAAGAAAGTATAGTTAACAACTCAAATATCCATTCTGTTGATATGCTGTATAATTACCATGCTGCTAAACTGCAATTTGGACTCATTCTATTTAACTTCAATGATGCAGTAAAGGAGGGCGATGGGCAGAGGCTGCATGACATATACAAGCTTGCATTACTACAATACAAGAGTGGCAATCACTACAAATATGCATATGTTGTACTTTTATACTTGGCCAAGATTGCTGCATTATACACTGAATTGGAGGCTTTCCAGCTGAAATGGAATAGATTTTACAACAAATATGGCTTAATTGGAGGGTGCATTTCTCTAGACCTAAAAAAGGAACAACAAAATAAAGTATTAAAAACTTTATGGAGAGCACTTGGCCCAAACTTAAATGAGGAGAATGCTTCTCGTGTAGCTAATACATTGGAGCTTCTGGAAAAACTAATTAGCTCAATAGATAATGACTGTGCAATGTCTGAGAGATGGGGTCACAGATCAGTTGGTGAGACTGTCGAACCAGTAATGCAAGTTACGTCTGATTTGGTTGAAATCAAAGCATTTGAATTCACTCCAGGACGGGAAGGTCATAAGTCCTTTCAGGATTTTTCTACTAGTCTTGTTGATATTGACTACAGAGACCTTCACAGATGGATGAAAGAAAAACTAAAACTATGGGGAAGCATTTTTGATACTAAGATAGTTCTTAATTTAATACTATAGTTCCTAACTGTACATGCATAGTAATTGCATAGTAACAGTTCAATATTTACCAACATTGTTAGAAATTTTTTTTTAATTTAATGGTTTAATTTAAGGGCACACAGAATGTGAAAATATCTCTATTTGGGAAAGCGTTCAATAGAAAATATGTACAATAAGGTTGATCTTTTAAAGCACACACATGAATGTTAAATCAGTGGTAATAAGACTTAGTTATTAATTAGACTCTAATGCACAAGACTCTCCACTTGATGAGTACACAGCTGGCATCAATGAAGAAAAATTATCTGCCAATGTAACTTAATTGTTAACTCATTGAAATGCAATGCACCTAGATGTGCCCTACTTTGTTGTGTTATTCTGTCTAATGCCAGACTGTCTTACTTGTCAAAGGGAAAAGGTTGCACAAACTAATATTATATAGCCTTTGTTTGCTTTACATCTCATGTGATCTTTAAGAACTTTAGCAGCTTTAAAAGTCAACTTGTTTTGACAATATGAAATGAAACAAACTTTTTAGAATAAGTACAATTCAAACATTACCTAATCAATGAATTCCTCTGCACTACCAGTACAAGTATCAGTGTAATATATATCATCATGTTGATCCAGTCACACAACCTTAACTTGCTCTGTCATTAGCACCTGTTCCATTATGACATCGATATTTGGAATATCTTCAAAAATTTCGTGAAATATTTCGAGAATTTTCAGTGCAAAGTGCACTGAGAATAAAGGAAAATGTACATTGACATCTCTTACAGTGAATATACAATGTGCCTTATCAACAATTTCAGAAACCAAATTATCTTCATAATCATTTGTGGTATTGAACATTAGTTGCTTTACAATGGGATGGAACATATTGGCAAGTTCTTTTAGGGCCATGATAAGGTCTTCCTTGTCAGATGGTGACACTGGTCTGTTCATAGTTTGGTTGGCACTGGTCATGTTTGTAATTTCTTTCTCAAATGGTGGAATTTCAAAGAGACACTCGCCATCCTCACATGCACACAATTTTGAACAATTTGCACAACATGCATGAGAGGGATGAAGGGGAAGAATCTTTCTATCAAATGCTTTGTAAGCTGCAACTCTATAACAATCAACAGTCCTAACAAAGTCTTTGACATCCTCTTCACAAAATGACAATTGCTGACCATGGTACAGAGTTATGACATCCGCATTTTTTCCATCTCTCCCAGCAAGCCCTGATTCTTGATGGTAATCAAGCACGTTTCTCGGTGGTCCCCAATGAATCACATACCTCACATCAGGGAAATTAACTCCCATACTTAAGGCAGAAGTTGTGATGGCAACCCTTGTTTTCCCGCCAACTTTAAATGCACGAACCAGTCTTTCCTTGTATTTTTCAAGTGTTAGGGAATGATAAATGCCAATAATACAGTTTTCAGAATTCTGACTTTCCTCAGGTGAATATGCTTTTTTACCAAGTTCCATTAGCATAAAATTGGCCAAAGTAGCAACATCTGTCATTGTACCATTGCAGAATATTAGTGTCTTTGGGGTTTCTATACCTTTACTTTTTATGAGTTGAATTAACCATGATAGATGATCAATCATTACTGCTTTTTTACATTTCAAAACTGAGATTCTCAGATTGGTTCGGTTGGGACTCAACACCAGTAATTTTGGATCCCTCATCAACAGCGTTTTTTTGATAATTTTCTGAGTTTTTTCATCAGCTGTGCCAGTTAATGCTAGCATTGGTGTACCTGGTATTGGAAACAAATTATAAGGTAATGATATTATGTATAATCTGTGCACATAAAGTTTCAAATATATATATATATACAGTCAGTCTAATATATAAACTGAGCCGAATCTGTTCAGGTACATATTGATGGCTATTTTCAAAGAAAAGTCAAATGCCTTTACACAATAGCCTGAGAATGAACAAAAGCTTCATACAAATTACTGCTGTTTCTACATCAAACTTTGAATGAAGCCTCAATTACACCTTATTGTACATGGCAACCTGATCATTATTAAATAATTACTTATTAGACACATATGGTAAATCCTCTATTAATTAAGCTCTCTTCTTCTCTAAGGAAATTTATTTATTGGTACCCTCCCCCTCACAACATAGAAAATATGTACTTCCAAATGGTCAGAAATCAAATTGTGCCATACACACATAAAAATGCACAAGTTGTAACAAACCTGCAGCAGACTTGTAGCAATGCAGTTCCAACAATTTGTCAACAGTATGTGTTCGCACTGCTTGTATCCAGCTTGTTGACAATTTGTTAAAAAATTGTTGAGCTCACGACTTGTTGACAAGTTGTTGAATTGCAGGACGATAACAAGTTGTTGGAACAACTTGTCAACAAGTTGTGAGTGACAACCTTGTAGCAACTTGATAAAATAACAGTATTGTTCCAACTTGTTGACAAACTTGCCAGAAGCCTGTTGCGAACACATCTTGTTCACAAGTTGTGAGTTTTTACGTGTATAGAAATCACATTGCACCTAAAATAAATATTATCCCTATTTATAACTTTTAATACAGCATGCAGGAGAAAATCATTTTTGGTGCTTATTTTTCTTGCAGTTTTGCATCTTTGCACCCATACATATAATTACTTATTTGCTTCATCATTTTAAAAGGTGGGGAAAATAAAATAGGAAGCAAACATCAACATAAAACCTTGTTATTTTACTGACCTGCTTTAGAGAATGATCTTAGATCAGACAATCTTGAGAAGGCTTCACGAAATGCATTCCCTCCTTCCCTGGAAACGTAAAATAGAATGGTCAATGTTCAATGGAAAGTTGTCACTCAAAGTCTCAAACCAATACATTCTCCATATTATAATGTACATACAGTATATTGAAAAAGTAAAATATAGCTTATAAAATGCATATATTATACCTTTTGCCCGTCCAGGTTTCAACGATGTGCGATTCATCGATAACTATCGCGGATAAGTTATTATGTATGGAAGAATTGCGATTTTTAATGACAGTCTTAACGCGTTCCGCAAGAGCATCCTCTGCTGAAGCGAAAACTAAACGAAATTTGGAATCTCTCAAGTCATTATCCGACATTTCTGATACATCTCCTGCAGAAATTCCCAAATTCCTCGCCTCCTCTATTTGATCACGAACAATACTCTTCAATGGACAGATTACTAAAGCTGATGTTCGACTTTCCGCCGATTTTCCAACAAGAACGAGTATCTGAAATATTAGACTTTTACCGTAACCTGTTGGTAAAACAGCGAGGACGTCCGAACCAAGTAATAAATTTTTTATTGCCGTACGTTGCTCGTCCTTAAGTTGGATAGAGACATGGAATTTATCCAACAATTCTTTGATAACTCTTTCTATTTTCTCCTCTATTTTATCTGTTTTCTGCGCCATGTTTGTTTTATTGGAATAATATTAATACGTCAGCAAGTAATATTTAAGCCAATCAGAAGCCTGCGTTTCTATACGAACGCCACTACCAAGAAAACCTATCATCCGTGCAGGCCCTCTATTCTTCGCGCCGCCCGCAACCCAGGGCCTGTTCGCAGGCTACGGAAGCAAGAGAGGATTATGAACGTTTTATATTGAGCGATAGACCAAAATATATTCCAATGAAGCCGGAGAAACTTGCAAAGTTGTTCCCAGAAGACAGACAAGAATATGATAACTCTTTAAAATAACAAAAATAGGTACGCAGTGCGTACATGTTGCATGCCATCAAAAGCTAGCGTGAAAACAGACCTACGTTCCGCCCGCCCTAAAATTTGCAGGTTGACGGAGCTGTTAGACTTGCTCCAAGTCTCTCTTTCATTGTCATATAGTATCAATCCACTATAGTGTACATTACATGACGTACTACGGAGGGGCGGAACGAGAAGGAGAGACTTGTCAACTTCGGAAAATCTCGGTTGAAACTGAACAGAAAATGCAAGACTTGCTTTAATTGTTTTCCTTCAATCCACGTTTACTGCGATGAAAAATATGCTGCTGTCACGTGACCAAATTTGCATTTTTTCGGACAACTTTCGCACTCCGCTATTCAAAGTGTATACACGTGCGCGATATAAACAAGCGAAAATATCGCAAAATAAGGACGATTTGAAAGGTTTTTTTTGTATTTGTGGGTATATTTTAACTCCTGTAAGTGTAATATGTAGCGAAGAGAAAAATTTCCCGTTGTGTGGGTACGAAAATATAGGGATATATTTCGCTCGACGGCCTCGATTATACTATCCATGATTATACTATAAGCGATTCACAAATTATGGTAAAGAGATGTGCTTGGGGAATATGCAAAAGCGATTCGAGGTAACCAGCACGCTTAAAAAAGGACAATGGGACTTCAGTATCTTTCTACAGTTTCCCAAGTGAGAATAAATCTAAGGAAAGAAGGCAAATTTGGATAAATGCATGTTGTCGAGGCGACAAGTTCGTCTGTCGGAAAGACAGCTATATATGCGGTTTTCATTTTATTGACGAAAATGGACCCACAGCGGATTATCCTGATCCGATACCAGCTACAGCTGATGGGAATAAAGTAAGTTATATTTTATAATCAATATATTTGCTTTTCTACTAATGACCTGGCATGGACCAGATGTTACACTCTCGCGATTATGCAGTACATCCTCCAGCGAATACAAACAGGCTGCGATGTGCTTGCAGCCTCTATAATCTTCGAATGATTTATATGAGGCAAGTCCCTGTTTATCATACTCAGCTGAGCTGTATATTAAATAGTTAAAAATATACAAACCGAAGGGTGGCGAATCTATAAAGTCGTTCATCGACTGGATATAACAATGGCTGACGTATCACCATATCATGAATAATAAATGTTTCTCTTGCGTTCTTGAGATCCGAATTTCCATATTCATGATTTGGGTCAATCGGCAACATCATTTTCTCCACTGCTTGAGCAATTTGAAGTAAAGCAGGTTTTAAATAGCCGTTGGCAGTAACGCTACGCATTTTCAAATACTCCTTTAGTTCGGCAACAGTCATGTCCGAAACACGCTTATTCTCCTTATCCATACAACAAGACATTTTTCTCTTCGGTATATTACACTTACAGGAGTTAAAATATACCCACAAATAAAAAAAAACCCTTTTAAATCGTCCTTATTTTGCGATATTTTCGCTTGTTTATATCGCGCACGTGTATACACTTTGAATAGCGGAGTGCGAAAGTTGTCCGAAAAAATGCAAGCATATTTTTCATCGCAGTAAACGTGGATTGCAGGGCTGCCAGGGACCTTTAGTGGCATTTTTCGCAGCTGGTCCTGGTTAGGTCTAATAAAAGTATATAAATTTCCACTCAATAATTTCCATCTACAAGACCCTTCAACTATTATTCAATCAAGTGCGATAGCAACAAAATCTTGATATTTACTCATGTACAAAGTGATCATGTATAGTCTGTGACATGTCATGTATAAAATGGTCATGTATAGTGACATGGTCATGTTATGCATAAAGTGGTCATGTATAGTGACATCATGCATACATGTACAAATTAATCATCATGCATTGTGACATGATTATGTGTAAAGTGATCATGTACAGCGACATGGTCATGTACTAAGTAAAGTGATCATGTACTGTTATATACTGACAGGATCGTGTATAAAATAGTGATACGGTCATCTGTAAAATCATCAGGTATACATGTAGGGCTCTTTCATTATTTTACTTCGTCCAACGTACAGTAGCAAGGTTACTTGGCAATGCATAGTCATGTGCACTGAAGGTTTATAATACAGATAATAAGCCTTACAACTTATATAAGGCTTAATTACAACATATTTTTACAACATGAATAATTAGAACAGTTTGGGAAAACAACTATTTTTCCCTGTTAAATTTGCCTGTGAGTTGTATTTAAAATATTCCACCAGACATTCGGATTGGAATGAACAGTGCAAGTGTATTTTGTAGAGGTGTGCATTGGAACGGACGTTTATAATCTGACAATTGGCTAATGTTTAAAATCCAATCTGATCCGAAATTATCTAATCCGAATCCGATCCGAATTTTGATGAAGAATTCCAATTCGATTCAATCCGGAGAATCATTTTTAATAAAATAATTTCTCATTCAAATGGAAATATTTAACCAAATAAATATAAAAGATTCATTGCATGATTCTGGATAATTAATTCATTTTATTTCGAATATCAAAGTCCGATCTGATTCGACTACGAAACAACTTTATCAATCCGAAATGAATATTTTTGTTCCGAAATGCGAACAAATCCGATCGGATTTGCACACCTCTAGTGTTTTGTGTTATGCTCCGATCAATATTTATGCTACAAGGCTTAATTGGGGGCAGCGGCCACTCCATCTTAGAGGCCAAACTGGTTGACAATTTCTTAAAGACCCTAGTAATTTCCTTTAAGTAGCTTGTTGATGAGGGAACAAGCAATCTCAACTTCGAGGAAACAGACTTTCAGATATTTGGCCGCCAAAAATAAGATATATATATTCATGGTATAAACTGTGCCCTGTTTGCATCCAAATATTGCATCCCGTAATTTGGTATCTTTTACACATCTCATTCCGCATCAAGCCACGTTAATGGACCTTTCCCCTTATACATGTAACTAAAATTTTGATCTAGACAAGTCCAGACAAAAATTTCATCCCAGCTTGAAAGAACATCACAAAATTAGTAATATTCCTAAGTTTCGTTGCGAAATGTTGTAAAATGCGGATAATATAGCCCTGCAAAATTTGCAATTTTCAGTCATTTTGTATTACAAACGGGAAATTGATGCCCCAACACCCGATTGGGCTGTCCATTTCCCATGCATAATACAAAATGACTGAAAAACGGCAAACTTCGCAAGGCTTGGAATTGCGGGTAAAATTTAGTAAACAGGAATTAAGAATTTTAAAGTGACTTCAAAATTAATATATAAACAAAAAACATCTGTATATTTGTATCCGCATTTTACAACCTTTCGCAACGAAACTTTGGAATATTACTAATTTTGTGATGCTCTTTCAAGCTGTGATGAATTTTTTGTCTAGATCAAAATTTTAGATATAAGGGGAAAGGTCCATTCAAAATTGAACTTCATAGCCACCAAAGCTGGGTTCAAAAAATGCTTTAATCCTATTGTTTCATTGTTCTCCTTGGCCCTTGCCTGCTGTAAGTTTGGGTAAGATAACTTCGATGGTATATCGCTTGCCGCTATGTTGGAAATATTTTTGTAGGGAAATTTGAATATCTAATCAATGCACCACCCTCCTGACAAACATGAACCAGCGCTTCCAGGAGAAATTTGCACAACAATTACTGACCACTGTGCACACACATCAATGTAATATACAGTTAAAAGATCAGTTTAAAGTGGAAAATTACCATCACTGGTGTCTAAGATCCATTGGACATTTTTAGGATCCATCTTGGTGGTGTCCCGACTCCAGCATCCCCTTGGGCTAATATGCGAATCAATTTATACTGCTAAAATCCCCTTGGACATTTTAATTTTTCGATATTTTGCAGTTAAAATCCCCCACCCCAGGGCCAAAAATTTTGAAGGTCAAATGCTCCACCCCCGAGTCATTCTGACTGTAATTCTCTCAGTTTAAATTTGGAATCGTGGGTGAAAATTTAGTAAACAGGAATTAAGAATTTTAAAGTGAATTCAAAATTTTAATATATAAACAAAAAACATTGGTATATTTGTTGCAAACAGAGTTCTCTCAATGAAAGCAAACATACCTTGCATAGAAAACAGCAAAATAATTTAATAATGTCAACATGACTTTATGCCCAGTAGGCATAATAATATAAAGCATCCGGTAAACCAAGCGATCTCATCAAATGCCCCAGGTTGATCTTGTGGCTTGTTGTCAAATGTCCCGCCACCCTTGCAGCGGTTTAAAAATTCAAATTCCCCACCCCAGGGATAGGAAAAGGTGTATGTTAACAGTATAAATTGATTGGCGCATAAGTCAAACATGGGAAACCACAACCCCTCATGACATTATTTAATAGAATATGGTTCTAATGGGCATCATACGTACATTCCTTTTGTTTATACCCAACTTACATGTAACTCACATGCTTCAGTTATTATTGTTCTACTTAGTACAGAAGCATAGGCATAGAATATAGAACAAAGGTAACCAAGCTTTAATTACCTACAGTACAGTACAGTACAGTACAGTCCTGTACATGTCAAGTGAATGACTCTAACTTATACATAATTGTAATGCTTCTAGTTACCTTTGTTGCATTCTATATGCATGTGAATTATCTACAGTAAAGTTGTAGATTGGGAAGCAAAGATGGAAACAAATTAGCCAAACATGGCTGTTGTAAATGTGCTTGTGGGGTAGTGATACTCAGGACGCCGGAGCGCGGGTAGCGCTCAGGGGTGCAATGTTTTTCCGAAAATGTTTTTCGGAACCTTAATTCACCAAAACAAGGGCAAAAAAATTTGAAAATAAAATTTTTGACACAATAGTCCAGAAAATTTCACATACATTTCAATATTACGTACATTTCACCAGGGTTGCCAGATTGCTGAATAAATAAGCCAAATATTATTATCATAATCTTTTGTTTTCTTTGTTCGAAACAAAGACATCAAAGGGCCGTTTATAACAATGTTTGGCTTATTTATTCAGCAATCTGGCAACCCTGCATTTCACCCATAATTCATACTTTTTAATCGTTGTACCATATATTTTTTGGGTTAGAATTTTTATCTATAAGGGCACTTTCGCCCCCCTGCCCCCTTACTAAAGGGCAAGGGGGGCAATGCCCCCCCCCCCTGCACCCCCTTTTCCGGCCTCCCTGGTGATACTTTGGCCACAGTTAACACATTCCGAGCACTCCCAACCCCCCAACCCCCAACAACTTAATTTCCCCAATGTGTGAATCCTAGGCTAGTTGATTGTCTTGGTTGTCCAAATTTGGTAGTCCATAGTATGATGTTAAGTAAGTCAAATAAGCTATGTGTATATCAAGATGTGGGTAATAAGACAAGCTATACATAATTTTAAAAAGTTAATATACTCATTTTCATCATGCAACCGCAAAAAATGGCTAGAAATCGAATTCTGCTGGTCTCAAAGTAATAAACGCCAACTTGTAATTGACTGACTCAAGTATTATGCACCTATCAATGTTAACCCTCAG